CCTCAGCCTCCCAAAGGCGCGGGATTACAGGCTGAGCCACCGAGCCCGGCTTACTTCTTCTTTCTAAACTAAGGTATTAATAGACTTAATTTTAAAATTTATTTATTTTATTGTGGTAAAATATAAACAACATAAAACTTGCCATCTTAACCATTTTTAAGTGTATAGTTCTGTGGCATTAAGTACACTCACATTATTGTGCAACCATCACCATCCACCTCCGGATGTATTTGTTTTTAAATAATTGATCCTCCCCTAAAATAATAAAAGCAAGAGGCAACATGTATAGGTAACTTAGGTGTTTTTGCAAATGTGATGTCAAAACGGCAGGATTCTCATGTTTTCAGGAAAAAAGTTAAAGTAATCACACAGGAGAAGCTATAAGATTGAACTCAGATGCGAGGTGTGATTGTAGTCCCACTAGCCTGTTCTTCCAAATTAGGGAGAGTAAAAACATGGCGCCAGTAGCTGCTTTGTGGAAGCCTTCCCTCTTTTTCTGAACCTATGGCAGACATTACTCTGTAATTACTATACTCTTTCCTACTGAATCTCCAAATCTCTCTCCATATGGTAGTCTGGACATTCCTCACGACTAATTACAACTGGTCCATAGATGAAACCCATTTACCATCTACTTATAAAAATGCAAGGCAAACTAATGCAACAGGAAGTGACAATCATCTGGACTGCTTTTGGCCCTGCCAAAGGTCCAACATATACATCAGTATGTATAAACGTGCACATGGTAGAAAAGTCCTTCAATATGGAGTCGTTACAAAGAAGGCTCTTTGGCATGAAAATCATCACAAATAAAAATGTTCTTACCTGGGTAGGAACACACTTTCCACCACATAAAAGTCTTGCATGAGAACATCTCGTTCTGGCTTGGAAGTGAGATTACCCACTGTGTATCCTATTCCCAGCTGAATAGCACCTTTAATAGCAGATGATGCAGTCTGCAAATAATAAAAAAAAGTGTCTCAACAGTAGCTTCCAAATAGCAACAGGAGAGTGAGGTTATATGGATAGACACATATATACTCTTGGAGAATATATATTCCCCCCCCCCCTTGTTCCTAAAAAGAATCAGGAAGTTGAGGTTTGGTAAGATACAATGTTGCTTCTTTTGATGGAGAATTCATTCCAATATCAAGGATCCTTCTTTCTATGAAATTATTCCTGTGACAATCTTTCCTAATAATGTTTCTAAGGTCAAATCACAGTCCGCAATATCCATCTTTCTTTTATTAAAAACTCAGAAACTTCGTAGAACACTTTCAATATACAGCATTATAATTTCTACCCAAAGACAAATGGTAAAGTCACATTTCTTTAAAAAAAAAATCAGAATTTCTATAACATACCTTTGAATCAGTACAAGTATTTTATCTTCATAAGAAATGAGAAAGCAAAATGTAATTTGAGTCTTTGGAGTACACAAAGAATTTAATTTGGAAATTGCTTAAAAGGCTTGCCATGGACCCATAGTCAAAATCTCCTACACTGGCCAGGAGCAATGACTCATGCCTATAATCCTAGCACTTTGGGAGGTCAAGGCGGGGAACTGCTTGAGTCCAGGAGTTTGAGACCAGCCTAAGCAACATAGCAAGATACCACCTCTACAAAAAATAAAAAATTCAGCCAGTCATAGAGGCTGTGCCTGTAGTCCCAGCTACTCAGGAGGCTGAGTCAGAAGGTTGAGGTTGCGGTAAGCCGTGATTGTGCCACTGTACTCTAGCCTGGGTGACATAGTGAGACCTGGACTAAAAACTGAACAAACCAACAACAAAACCTCTACATTGATCTCTGCTAAAACATATGGCATTGGATACCCATATTTCCAATTTACAACTTTTCTAATATCATTCCATAATTAAGTTGATATAATGTTAACTTGGAGAATAAAGGCTGTATTTATGGGCATAAGTGTATATATATGTGTATGTGTACACATGTATATAGTTAAACCAACATAACAGGAGAAAGAACAGAATAATTTAATTTAGAAAAATTAGAAAGTACTTTTCTTAATGGTGAAAATGTGTCATACTTTTTATGCCTTGTAGTGCAATAAAAGCTAAATAAATACACAATAAGAGCTAAATAAATACTTAAGTCAGTGGTTCTTAACCAGGGACACTTGGCAAATCTGAAGATAGTTGTTGGTAGTCACAACTGGTGGTGGTGGAATAACACCCAGTGGGTAGAGGCCAGGGATGCTGCTAACTCCCCTACAAAGCACAGGGCAGCCCCCAACACAAATAATCATCTAGTCCCAAGTGTCAATAGTGATGAGGCAGAAAAACACTGACTTGGATGAATGTAATACAGATCATCCATTTTATAGAAAAGATACACTCTTTTGGAGTTAATATTTTCTCTTAGCAAATCTAAGACCCATTCCTGCCTTCCTACATGTTTTATTGTTTTTTATTTCTTCAACACTAAACAAGACCTCTCTCTTCTTGAGAAACATTTCTTCTCTTGATTTCTATGACAGAACATGGTCCTGGGACTACTTCCAGCTTTTCTCGTGGTCTCTCCTCTTGATATTTCTTCACTGACTTCTCTATATTCTATTTCCTATAATTGCAATGTCCCTGGAAGTTTGACCTTTGATGTTCAGATTTCCTTAATTATCTAGGTAACCAATCCATTCTTAGTGGCTTCAAATACTGTTTCTATGCATATGACTCTCAGATCTCTTCAATCTACTTGGACGCTTCCGCCAAACACACAGTATATACTGAACCAAACTAATATCTTACAACCTCTCCACTCACCTCCAAGATCGGCTTCCTTTCCCAAGTCACTGTAATCTTCAGTCACCCAAGTTCAAGCCCAAACAGACCATACCTAGAACATGCCTAGGTCCCCAATAAATACTTGTTGACTTCACCTAAGAAGGCCAGGCTTAATCAGTACCAATCAGTCACTTCCACACACAATTGGTAACTACTAACTTTCCCACAGAGGCATCATTTAATCACTTTGCTTATTCCACTGTCATCCTTAATGTGAAGACAACTGTTTACATTCTTGACCCTTCAGGAGGTAGAAAAATGTCTTTGTGTTTTTCTTTTTTCATATACCCTTTTATTTAAGAGCCAAGGGCAGCAAGATGGCAAAAGGTTGAGATTTAGGCTCACAGTGCATGTAGAGCTTAAAAAAAAAGTTTGCTATTTTAATACTCCTTCTCTGAGCTCTGCAATGCCACCAATTGGTGTAAGTGACCTTTTGTACCAGTAGTGCTGACTTCTGAAGGCTGAAATGGATTTTCCCCATTTTAACCTCACATAAAAATTCAAAAGGCATCTCTTCTCCCATCCATCACTCAGAGCAGCATGGCACAAGTTATGACACCAGCACTTTCCAGAGAACCCAATACCCCAAAATATTCTGAGCCAGGCCTATCAACAGACTCACATGCTTTCAAAATGCTCTGCTCTCCCTGCACCCCAGCCCTGATTCTGCTTTCCAGAACTACCTGTATTTCTGCTTAATTCATGGAATCACCATGATTATAGTCATTTTAACATTTCTTGGGCTGGAACAACCAGTCAGACAGACAGACTATCCCATTTTTTGTTGTCCCCACCGTAGCAACAGAAGTTGTGATTAGTCTGTGCCTGGTGTCCTGAAACTTCAGGGCGCATGAGAGTCACTGGGGATACTTGCTAAGAACAGATGATGTGGCACATCCCCCAAATTTCCGATTCAGAAGGTCTGGGGTAAGAGCCCAGTAGTATGCTCTTATTCTAAGTAGCACTGAAAAAAAAAACCAAACCTTTCTCCTACAGTATAAGATTAAGTTTTGAGTGCTGAAAGAATGAGATATGGGGAAGGGAAGGACCTCACTGATATGTTTAGCTAAACCACAAAATAGATTTGTAATAATATTACTTTCTTTTCAGACTGTTTAAAATTTAAGAGCTCTGATGGGACAAATAATAAACGGGTTAGTCTTTTTTGACCAATTAATTTGTGCCAGGCACTTGATATTTAGATAACAACAATCATAATCTATCATAATCATAGTATTCACCTATTTACTAAATGGCAGGCATGGTTCTAAGTGCTTTCTAGTTCTATTAACTCTTTTATCCTCATAATGATTCTATGAAGTAGGTGCTATTATTTATCTCTACTAATTCAGGAAGGTTTAGCAACTTATACAAGGTCACACAGCTAGTGAAGAGGTGAAGCTAAGACTCACCCCTAGGGAGGTTGGATCTATGTTATAAACAAGTACACTCTGCTCCCTCTAACACCAGAATCTCTTAACTCACTTAACCCTCTCGAGGACCCTGAAGTGTAGCAACAATTATTCCCATTTTATAGGTGGGACCTAAGGCTCAACAAGGTTAAGTGACCTGACCAAGTCCCTCCACTAGTGTGTAGTAGAGTCTGACTGCCAAGTCCAGGCTGTTTCCACAAGTGCTTTTGCAAAACAGGCCTAGAATCAAAGTTGGAAGTTCTCTTTTAAGTCTGGATGTTTGACCTCAACAAAGTAAAAACCTCTGAGAGAGCCATTCCTTTTGATGAAATAGAGATAAAAGATTTTTTTTTTTTTGGCTTCTAATCATACCCCGCCATGAGTAAGCCAAAAAAAAAAACTTGTAAACTTTTGATAAACCTGTATAGACACCATTGTTAATGTCACCACAAATATCACAGGGAGTTATTCACAAAAGGTGGTATTTTGCTGACACAGAGAGACACCTCAAAATTTCCTCCTCCCCATCTCTGTGTAAAAATTAAATGCTTTAACATTGAGGCATTTAAGTATAATGAAAAGTATCTTACATGTGGAATCTAAAAAAGTTGAACTCATAAAAGTAGGGGTAGAATGCTGGTGACCAGGGGCTGGTCGGGGGCTGGGGAGTTGGAAAGATGTTGGTCAAGGGATACAAAGTTTCAGTCCGGTAGGCAGAATGAGTTCAGGAGACCTACTATACATACAACATGGTGACTATAGTTAATAACAATGCATTGTATTTTTAAAATCACTGAGAGTAGATTTTAAGTATTCTTACCACAAAAAACAACAATATGAGGTAATGCAGGCTCATCTCAAGTGAATTAGCTCCATTGAGTCATCCCACAATATATGTATATTTCCAAACATCGTGTTGTACACAGTCAATTATACAATTCTTATTTGTCAACTAAACAATAAAATAGAAAAAAGCATCTCATCTGCTTTGTGGAAACGTCTGATTCCATTCATCATGGCATGAGGTTTCTTAAGCCAGGAGCCCTTAACCCTCGGGGCTGTGGACCAGTACCAGTCCATCACCTGTTATGAACCGGGCTGCACAGTAGGAGGTGAGGGTGGGGGAGGGGAGAGAAGGGAGTAGAACTCTGCCTTCTGTCAGATCAGCGGCAGCATTAGATTCTCATAGGAGCGAGAACCCTATTGTTTACTGTGCATACAAGGGACCTAGGCTGTATGCTCCTTATGAGAATCTAATGTCTGATAATCTCCCCATCTCCGTCCACGGACAAACTGTCCTCCACAAAACCAGTCCTTCAAGCCAAAGATCGCTGTCTTAGGCCATCAGCAACAAAGGCCTCATCACCTGACATTTTCTCACTGGACATTCGACAGAGTCTAATGTTGAGTAAGACATACTTAAAAGTGTGAAAAAACACTTTGAAACGCTACCTGGCGTGCCTCTGACTAGCAGATTAGTAAATCGTGATGATGACAAAGAACCATTTGTGTGCAAGTGCTGCTGATTGTGTTTCTAGAACCAACAGTTGTTTCCCTGAAATTCTGAGCCACCAGAGCTCTCTTCCTCTGGGATACACTATAGACCAGCCAGGCCATAGTGGGTTGATGGCTTTGCACACATACTGAGCCCCTACAATTTTCTCAGCAGGGCTTTGCATATGCCCTAAATATGCTGGGACATAATCATTTCCCCTTCTAGTGCCAAGGAGAACTGTCCAC